TAGGCCTGAGGACAAGTCTTTCTTCTCCTGAGCAAAAGGTTATTGTTTGATCAGTGGCAGAGGAAATGCTAAAAAAATTTACCACGGTGTTAAAAGTGTGGGGAAAGCACACAAATATTTGTAAAATTTACTCAAGTGTTGGAAGTAATCATGGTGAAGGAAAGCAGAGTTTGCAAAACTGGGATACCTCCAGTTTTGGTTGATTGCAGATCAGGAAGAAACGAAAAAAAAAAAGATTTAGGAAATAAGAAAAGAAATAAAGAAAACATGAAGGTAGGGACTGACAAAAGGCAGGAAAGGACGGAGGAAAAGGGGAGGAAGATAAATGAAGGAAACTGGGAAGGATAGAGAGTAAATTAAACTTGTATTAGTGATGCATTGCGGCCAAAACTATGTGGACACACCTGTCAACTAACATTTGTGTAATTCTGGTGTGGTGGTTTGTGTTCGGCTCTTTCCTTATTCAACGTGATGGTGCCGCCGTGCAACAAAGCTGGCTCCATGAAGCAGCCCAGTCACCAACAGAAAATGTTGGCATTATACATTCTGCAGACCACGAACACGTTACATTTGCATGTTTCATACGAATCATATCAACGTTTGTAAAGTGACTTTGTCATCGGGAGGTGGAGGGGAAGGTGGATGGCGTGACACCTAGGCAAGATGCCTGCCAAGCTGTACTAGGATCTGTAGGCATCAAACGTGGCTGTTTTGTAGCAACTGTTGGATTTCTTTCCAACTGATTTATCGGTATGAAAGGCTGTTGTTTTTTGTAAAGACCGCTGTATTTTCTGCCAAAATTGGGGTATTTTAAACCAAAACATGATCTGCTCCAAACCATAACCTAGTCGTTTTTGTGCAAAAATCTAACCACATGTTAACCACAGCGTCCATGAAATGTTAAGTTTAAACATAACCACTACATAACAACATGCAAATGTACCTGGGTTTGCAGAAACATTTAATTACCAACTTTTTTCTGGTGCTTTGGTTGCACAGAGCGATCGTTTTGCCCAGTTTGGTGAGGAAGAACTCAAAGGTTTGGACTTATGTCACATGACTGGGACTCATAGAAACATACAAAATTCATCCTGTTCATCTGGGTGTTTCAATGAAGGATCCTTAAATGGCTGAATTTTGTCATCGAAGGACAATTCCAATGTCAAGGATCCTTCAAATTCTACCGAGGGCAGAGTCCTTCCTTCAGAGGAATTTCAAGAATGCATTTGTGAAGGTTAATGACGCACACCTGGGGACACTCGTTAGCTTGTTCCAATGTGTGTTCACTGAATGCTAGGAAGGACTCTTGCTCTGCCTCTGTAGGATCCTTCATTGGAAGGACTTGTCCTACCAAGAAAGGATCCTTGACTGTGAGAAACACCAACTGTCCTTGGTAGAATTTGAAGGATGCCTGACATTGGAACAGTCCTTAGGCGGGATTTGATGATGAAATTAATGATGAAATTCAGCCATTTAAGGATCCTTTCTTGACTTTGACAAACACCAGGGATTGGCCCTATATGGAGACATTGTTTGGTTTGTACGTTCCAGGCTACTGTAGAAACATGGCGGTGTAACATGGTGATCTCTGTAGATGGGGACCCACTCCCTATGTAGATATAAAGGGCTCACTGTAAAGGCCCTGACACACCAAGCCAACGGTCGGCCGTTGACCAAAGTCGGCCGTCGGTGAGTGTGTGTCGCCCTAGTTTTTGCGGTGTGTCCACTTCGGCGTTGGCGGCTTTTCGGCCGATTGAGCATGTTGAATCGGCAGCGGAGTTTGTCGGTGAGAGAGATCACTCTGACTGGCTGTTCAGGTTTTATTTCCTCGCCCCTGTAGCGAGTGAATCTGCCTGTAGTGAAACCGGGGCTAACCAGTGCTTCCTCCGCAGGCTCCACTTCACTCAGCTGCCCGACAGACCCACTGCTTCTTCCCACTTTAACCTGAATAACAAACTGGAGCTAGCTGGGAGCGGCTAGCAGAGCGTTAGCCGCAGCATGACGGAGGGACGCACAGCCAGTTAGCACCGAGTCCTGGTTTGTTATTCAGGTTAAAGTGGGAAGAAGCAGTGGGTTTATCGGGCAGCTGAGTGAAGTGGAGGAAACACCGGGACCATCTGGATGTAATAGTCCGTGGAGGTGCTGCGGTGCTCGGCTGCACAGATAGGAAACCCCTCGGCTGACAGGATGTACCACTCTCTCACTCCGCTCTCTCTCACGCAGGTGCAGAACATGCATGCCTCTTGGCCGTCAGATGTAGTCCGTGTAGCGTGTTCAAATGCAACTGACACAGGGCGACGTGAGGCGACGTGAGGCGACGTAGACGACGCAGCAGTTGGTTTGGTGTGTCCGCACCTTAAGGTAAAAAAAACACAACTCTTATTTTCAGATGAATATACACTAAAGAAAACATACTAATGAAACATTTAGATTTTACAAAGCATTTGTGCTCTTTGTAAATTTAAAGTATTATTACTCTGTTTTTTAAAATGGCATTACACTCTGAAGAGCACATTATGACTTGTTTAGGACTCGAAACTCAAAGTTTGGGACTTGGGACATAAGTGCAAAGAGTTGAGATTTACTTGAGACTTGCGAAACGACAACTTCGCCCCACCTCTGGAAGACCTTGACAGCCCCTGCCTTCAGCTCTATCCAGCACCTTTGGGTTGAACTGGAACTGTGATCTGTGATCCAGGCCTCATCATCCAACACCAGCTGTTGACCTCACTCACGCTCTTGTGGCTGAAAGGGAGCAAATCCCTGCAGACAGCTTCCAGAAACTGAATGGAGGCTCTTGTAATAGCAAGGTAAAGCCCAGAGCTGTGGGATTTGATATTGTATGGGTGTAAAGTTCAGGCGTCCACATACTTTTGGCCATGCAGTGTATTTTATGAGTACTTGAGTAAATCTCCTCAGCAGGTGAAGCCAGTCTGTCATTAAACTTCACAGCTCCTGTTATTGATTCCTCTCTCCTTTGTTTGTCCCCAAACAGAAGCACCAGAGGCTCATTCACTCCACTTCCGACAGGAAATAAAGGACAACATGACCAGCTCCCCTCAGAACACTGGTTACACTCCGACGCCCCTCTGAGCTCCTTATGGGAGCGGGCTCAGTGAATGCAGGAAAGTGAATATGATAGGCTCTTCTCTTTTGTGCCCTCAGCAGCACTGAAACTCAGCAGCAGGAATTTGGTTGCCCCTAACCCTCATGGGAAATGAAAGGTGGCTGGGTTAATGGCGTATTGACAGGCAGCATGGCGGGAGTGTGTGCATGATCAGGAAGCGCCCACATGTAGTAATGGGAGGTGTGGCGAGGGTCGACCGGAGGAGAACAAAAGGAATGCACAACACCTGGAACAAAGCCAAGACAGAGAGGTCACGGTGGCTACAGAGTTCAGAGAAGATCCCAGCAGAGAGCAGACAATGGATGGAGGGCTGTGTCTAATATCTGACAACCACTATCAGTGTTGTGGCACACTAACACACTCATGGTACACTTTCAAGTGCTTTGTTTATGTTAGTGTGTTGCATACATAGGCTGGTTGAATATAACTAAGTAGCCTACATTTACTCAAGTACTGTATCTCAGTACAGTTTAGAAGTACTTGTACTTCAGAGTATATCCATTTTTAACTTATACTCTTTGGTATGTTAAGTGACTTTGCAGATTCAGATTATTAATACAAGATGCAATCAACTAATGAATAATCGTTATTGACCCCTAACTTAAATTCACAAGCTACCCAGCAGTAAGTATTATGGTTAAATGCACAAACAAACCCTGCAACGTTAACGCAACGTACATATTATTGCGTTGATAATTATAATTCAATAATATAATATACAGTATTCTGCAATGAGCGATTTTGCATGATGAGTACATTTAATTCTTGGACTTTAAGTATTATATATTGTATATTCAACTTAAAGTACATTTTTAAGTCTATTAATATGACTACTAATACTTTCGTAATTTTACTTAAAGGAACAGTCTTTAAGATTTTGGGAGATTTAGTGGCATCTAGTGGTGAGGATTGCAAATTGCAACCAGCTGAAACTTCTCCCAGTTACAATTCTTTCAGTGTTCATTGTTCAGGAGGTTTTTACCAGGAGCTGAATTATCCGCAGATGTATCTTCCTCTACATAACAAACCGACCAGGTGATGTAAACTGGTAAACAAATCAGTTTCCCCAACGTTCTTTGGCATGTTGGACATGGACCGCTAGCCCAGCACCCGCTTATGTGTTCTCACCTTTTTCTCTGATAACTTAAAATTACTAAATTATACAGTAGACCTGACAATTTAAACCAGTAAAAACACTAAATAAAGCTGTTCAATTTTAAGAAAAATATCTGTGTTTTTCTGGAGGGGCTGCTAACAATGGTGGCCAATGCAAAAACACAAAAATGCTAATGGCCCTATCTAGAGCCAGTGCTTGGTTTGTCTGTTCTGGGCTACTGTAGAAACATGCTGGTGCAACATCTCCCTACATAGATATTCGTAAGTGGCTCATTCTAAGGAAACGAAAACACAGCAATTCGTATTTTCAGGTGATTACACACTTAAGAAAATACACTTTTTAAAAGTTCAAAAATAATGTTTGTTTTATTGTTGCTTGCTACATATGATGTGCTTTCTAAAGGGCAGGTGTTATGAGCCCAAGATTTAGCCTGCACCTTTTTGGGACTGCAGAAGTGTCAAAGTTATGTTAAAGTACTTTAATGTAATGTTTTGCACTGTACTATTTAAGTATCTGCCATTTACTGTGAGAGACTGACTTTATTTACATGAATTTGTAGATGAATACATGACGTTCTTATTTCTATTTGCAGAATGAAATAAATTCTAAACTATTCTAAACACTTTTTATATTATATTGCATTTCTGCCAGTATATCCCCCTAACCCCTGCTCACTGGACCTTTAAGTAAAATATCTGAGTACTGCATGGTGCTGTTGGACATGCAAACAGATAGGATTCATTTCAAACTGGTTTTACTGATAGTCTGCTTCTCTCTCTGGTTGAATCTGTAAAATCACATGTTTGACTTGAATACAAACTCCATTGCACATTATTATGAACCACAATGTGACTGAACCTAAAAACTAAGTTGAGCTTGTTTGCCTGTAAACTTTGGCGAAACACTGCCCTCTGCTGGACACGTGACTTCCCTGCAAATGAATCATACAGATAATCAATCATTAATTTTACCAAATTTAACAGGAAAAAATACATAATTCTGCCACAGTCCAATCATGGAAGACAAATGAACACAAAACCAATATATATTCTTTAAATACAGGAGAAGAATTATTTTTGTTTGTTGTGATTTCAAGCACTACAGGTGTTTCCTGGCAACAGGTATGAGGATCCAAATGTGACAGACAATGGATGTGGTCGAGGTAGACAACTTCAGAAACTTTTAAAAACTCAGATTACAAATGGCACAAGTATGCAACTCTTCATTTGTACTTTCTTTCGTCTCACACTCTAATTACAGGACATAAAAGAGTCTCTTCAAAAGTCTGGAATAAGGAGGGATGTTGATGTTTGCCAACTCAGCCTGGCCACAAAGTAAGACAAGTTCTGCTTTTGGCATTTTAAGCAAATATATGTGTGGCTCCCTCTGCAGCTACAGGAAAAATTAAGATTTACACTGCTGCATAATTTCACAAATGAGAGCAAACTGCAATTTCTGCTGAACAGAAAACTCACCAGCGTCCCCGACTTATCAAGATTCCACTTCCTGAGGACGTTGTGGCTGAATAACAACAAGGTGGGACTCTGTCAAGCTGCACATTGATTTTTAAAGTTTAAATTGGGACTGATTAATTTGTATTTCGACTCTTTCAGATCAAAGAGCTCAGCTGTCGTTCCATCAACTGCTGCTTGACTGAACTTTACCTTCACAACAACAACATCAAGTCTATTTCTGGTGAATATTTCAGTTCTTCTCTGAATGTGGAGATAATGTTAAAAGAGATTATAATGCAGCTACACAGGGGTTATAAATGTTTGTTTCTGGCCTAAAGTCTGAGGTCAATTTTTAGATTTTATCATTTATTTTTAAGATTTTATTCATTATACTTTTATGGAGACAGACACATTTTATTGATGTTGTTTTCCTACTTGTTGTGGACAGATTTCAACAGAAGATATAAAGCACTTAAGGCTCCTTTAACAGTGTTTAAGACACATGCACCACATGTGCCCTAGATAAATAAAAGAGGACCCATCTGAATTCGTCTTTCCTGGTCTCTCACACAGGGGCCCTCAATCATCTGACCTGCCTCCGACTTCTTTTCCTCCACAACAACCAGATCAGAGGGCTGGAGGACACGATGCACGAGCTCAGGAGGATGCAGCAGCTCCAGACCGCAAGTGAGAGATGAAGCTCAGTCAGAGCAACATCTTTATCTTCAGTCTGTGTTCATGTTTTAAAAGTCTAAGTAGACAGTAGATTGAGAATATGTCTGTAATTTGTTGGGTTCCATTTAAAAATGAGTGCTTCTTTGCAGCTTTTGCCCTCAATCCCATCTCCCATGAGCCCGGGTATCGCCTCCATGTGATCCACTGTTTGCCTTCTGTCCAGGTTTTAGATCACAAAGGTAAGATTGATAAACATTCAGCTGCAAAGCCTTCATCCTGTCACGTGTGCATGGCTTGTATTTTGTTACACTTTCCTGTGAACATCTGTCACCTGTTGTGTTGTCAGAGGTGACGTCAGCAGAGAGGAGACAGTCCTTCCAGATGCACAGCCAGGAGCGCCACCGCGTCCTTCAGTCTGTGGCCTTCTGCAGGCGGGAGACAAAGTCCACAGGCTGACAGGATGTTTGTTTGTGCTAATAACTCTGTGGTCTGCAGAGTGCTTCATAATGATCACTTAAAACCATTTTATTGTCCCGCTTACTCGGTGTATCCGTATTAAGGGGAACTCAACTGCTTTTACAGGCCACAGTCAGTTTACAGGTTTGGGGGAGGCACTACTGCAGATATAAAGCCTTTGGTGGCTTCAGAGGGAGCTGCACAGAGTCTAAAGACTACAAGTTTGAAACTCAACAAAAATCCGGGCATGTGGAGATGACTGTAGCCATGTTTGAGTTGCATTCTGGGTAATGTAGGCACAAGGTTTTGATAAGGAAAAAGAATGCATGCTGCTTCAGTTTAGATTTTCCAGGTTTTTCAGCAGTAAAGAGCTCAGACATCAGAAGGGAGCTAGGAGTAGAGCCACTGCCCTTCGTGTCGGAAGGGATCAGTTGAGGTGGTTCATCATCTGATCAGGATCCTCCTGGGTGCCTCCTGTTAGAGGTGTTCTGGGCATGTCCCACTGGTAGGAGGCCCTGGGGCAGAGCCAGAACACACTGGAGGGATTATAGATCTCATCTTGGGGTCACCGACTCCATGGCAATATTTTACTTCCTGTTTACATCCCCCAATGCTCCCAGATAACAGGAAGTGTTGTTCCAAATATAAGAGCATGACCAACCCCAAAATTGAAGTAAGACTGAAAAATTACAGAATCCAATATAATATGGATTTGGGGAGCAGAGCCACAGACTGCTTGCTGCAGGAGCACTGCCTTGGATTGGGATAAATTATACACATGTACCTAATAAAAAGGCAACACTGTGATGCTGTCAGAGCTGTGTCACATCATCACTGTGATCCTGAGATAATAAAGATTTGAGAGACAGAAAAAGGTTATGAAAAATAGGAAATTCTTCACTAAAAACCACCATGATCACAGTTTGATGACACTGGTTTTTATTTCATGTGATGAAGCTCAAGTCGTTTGACACATTGGAGATTATCAGAGCTCTGGACAAACACAGCCTTGATAGACAAATTATTGAGCTCAAACGTCTTGGTCCATTCAGGCTGCACAATAAATCAAATATCATAAATCATACAAATGAAACTTCTCAGAGCAAAGTGTCCTGGTCATGGTGTTCTTGTGCTGTGTACAATTCCTGCATTTTGGGTAAAACAAATCTTTCATTTAGTTAGCGTCTGGACCACCCTGAGCATCAACGTCATCTTTCACAATACACTAAAAATAAATTCATGTTCATGTTTATATTTAAAAATATACATTTTTGGTCAAAATTGCGCAGCCGTGCCATCCACTCACAACCTGCCATGAAGTTATTGGTACAAAAAAAACAACAACACACACTCCAATAACAAAATCAAGTATATTGCAAACAAACAACAGCTCTGATTGGCTACACAGTCACACCTCCCCCACACAGGTTGCTACAGTTTCTTAAGGCAGAATTAACGTTCCATCAGTGATGTGAACCATTAGCTCTTCACGTGTCCCCCTCCCACTGACCTCTACCACAAACACAAAGGCCTACGCAACTGTTTACATTCACATACGACAGTATCATCTGAAAAATTAACATATAAAAATGAGAAAAAAAAGATGACTGCTGTGGCACAAAGCTTCATCGTACGTGTTAGTGTCTCCACGCCTTTGTGACAGTCTCAGGTCGGTAATAAATATGGGGTCTTCTCTCCTGCTGGACCAGTTCCTCATCTGGCGTTCAGTCTCACTGCCAGCTTGTCTGTGGTGCGTGGATGTATTCTGGCGGCTGACTGTTAAGTGTCCCTCAGTTGTCAGCAGCTGGGACGTTAGTGGCGTTTGAGGTTTCTGAGGGAGCGGCCTCACTGTTGGTCTCCACTGAGAGCTCCTGCATGGAGTCTGTGGCCTGCTGCACGGCTTCACTCTCCTCTGAAACACAGAGACAACACAGTTAGTAACATCTGACCATGCTCTTATACTGAATCAAGACAAATGAGGTCCCTGTTAGCCATGAACAGTTTTCATGTTGTGTTGGACTAATGTACTTTACTTCCTCCTGACAGAATGCAGCATGGACAAGAAATTTGTATTAAATTTTTATGTCATTTAAAAATCAGCCTTTGACATAATTCCCATAGATTCTAAAGGCTCATCATTTTCTGTTTATACCAAAAAAAAAAGAAGAAAGAAAAGCAGATTGGTTAAAACTTGGGATGCATAATACTCTCCGCACATCATCTCTGTCTGCAGATAAAGAGTTTTGAATGAAATATGGGCATGACACGCCGATGAGATGAACTTCTAGTTTTATTTATAAATATGTAACCTATGTTAAAGTGGTTTTCTTTTTTTCCCCCAGTGAGTGTGTCCATTTTGAAAAGGCCATCACAATAACAGTAGGAATAATAATATGTTGATTCCACCACAGGAGAGACTTATGTTCTCTGCCAATGGAAAAAGTATGTGTGTATATCAGTATAGGAAAATACGGAAAATATTAGCATGTCAGCAAAAATCCAATGTCCCCATGCATCCCAAAGTTGTTCTGTTTCTTGACGCATGAAAACACTGATCAATGTGTACAGTAGATGCAGTCCTTCAGAGGATGCTTACAGTGGTAAAAAGTGCATGGAGAAATCAGGAAAAAGTGCAAATGAGATAATAATTGTGTGTCAGAGTTCTTTCAGTGCATGAAAAATGAGTCTGAAGTTCAAGTTAATTTCAGATATTTGCAAGTTAAAATGACCATCTTTTAGATGCTGCTCATCCATCTGCACTTTTTATCATTATGAATAAACCACCTCTTCTCATCTAACACTCACTGGATGGTAATCTGTGTGTGTGGGATGAGTGTTTACTCTGTTTGCGTCTGTCACAGTTTGTCTCTCAGACCAATGAAGTACCTTTGCTCTGCTGCATCCTCAGTTTGGCTGACTCTGCCTCATGCTTCTCTCTCTGCTCTTGGAGCTTCTTGCAAACTTTCTTGTGGGTGAACCAGTGCATCTTTTGGCAGGCCTGGTCACAGTAGATCACCTAGACATTTAAAAACAATAAAAAATGTGTTAATTTACTATGCAACTGATAAAACCCAGTGACGAGAGAGAGAGAAGAAATACCAGCAGCTTAAAAGACAGTTGAGACAAGGCAGCTTTAAATTCAAAGTTTGAGCATTTTGCTTCATTCTTGTTCATTTTTGAAGGAAACTATATTGTGTTATGTGGATGAAACTTATTACCAATTTAAATATAAACATGGGAATAGAAAAAAAACGTTGAATAGAGGCTAACCCATGGTTTAGTGGCTAAGACGTTGCATCGTCTCTGCTGAAATCCAGCCGAGGACTTTTATTACATCTCTCCACTCTCACTATATCATAAAGGCAAAAACTGCCCCATAACAATTTTAAAATAGTAAATATTATCTTGTTTGAAAAGGTGAGGTGCTCAGAAGTTGCAGTTACACAACAACTAAACTTTCTACACATGCAGAAGAGACATAAATCAATACAACTGTTTTGTAACTCACCATTTTACAGACGGAGCATCTCTTCTCGGCTCCCTTCTCTCCACAGGAAGTACAAAACTCTGCGTCCATGAAGCCGACCTGACCTGTGATGGCCTGAGTCAGCACTGACAGAGCTGTGGGGTCGTTACCCTGCCATGATGGAGAGGAAAATAAGGATAAGAAAAACGATCAGGCATCGCACAACAAAACACCAACACAGACAGATTTAAATTTAGATGAGACTAAATCAAAATCCAAAACAAAGTGGGTTCAAACTTAATTGGGCCTTAATTTTCACATCAACTGTGATGTAATAAGAAGCATCAAAATAGTGGGCTGAAACACACTATTGGATATGATCATCTCTCGACAGATTTTAATCATTCACTGAGACTTACGATCTCCACAGGAGCGATACTCCTCACCAGCTGCTGCAGCAGAGTGGCGTCACAGTAAGGGAACTTGCGGATACACTCTCGGAGAAACTTCTCTTGGTACACAGGGAAGCCATCGCTGTCCCGACCCTTCAGCAGACTGCAGGACAGGGATCAAGAAGATCAATCATTTCTTGTTTCCATAAACAGACAATCTGCAGTGATAAATCAGGTACAGCAGCTACATGTATACATTTCTATTCCCTGAATTAGCTAAGTAAACTTCAACTTGGTCCTTTGGTAAAAAGTAAAAACACTATTTGGGTGTTTAGGATCTATAAAAGGGCCACAAATCCTCAGTGAACATCCCACATGTTCTCACCTCTTTATGAGGCCGTCCAGCTTGTCCTCGCGGTCCTTGAGGAAGGACGCACACTTTCCCAGTACACAGCTGATGTAGTGCATCTTCATGGCCAGCACCTCGTTCATGTCCTGCTGCTTGATGCACTTCTCACAGATGAGCTCCATCACACGGCGGCATTTCTCCAGAGCCTCCACCTCTGCCACCAGAGGGTTCTCCTTCACCAGCATCACCATCTGCCAAACATATCAAGTCCCATTTGTTACAAACATCTGCTAAAACATCCCAAGTGATGTTGACTGCTGTGTCATTTCGTCTTGCTCCTTGTGGTAAAACTGAGTTTTTATTTTCCATCAGCCAGTTCTGTTGTTAATCCTGTTAATTTAACATGTCAACTACAACTAACAATCATTTTTAATAATCAATTATTCTACTACTGTAGTGTATAAGATGTCAAAGATGAGGACAAACACCCATCAGTCATTTCTATGGTAAAAAGTGCTCCAGCCCTCAAGTCAACAAACAAAGCATTTTCTTCTTCTTCTCTTCTATTGGGCAATTTGAAGATGATACGCCATGAGACACGAGAGGATGGTTGGATGAGGGAGCTGCAGGGCCTCTTTCAACCTGACACTGCCTGTCCAGCTGTGTCCTACCTTCACAGGGTTCAGGTTGGTGCTCATGATGACCTTGTGGAGGGGTCCGGCCAGTTTGTGTGGCAGCTTGGGCTCCCTCTCCAGACCCTGGGGCTTGGTGTAGTAATCCAGTCTGGCTCGGGAGAAGAAGTTGTTGATCACCGTGACACAGTCGTGTTGCCCTAAGAAGAGAGAAGAAAAAGCAATTCAGTTTTTTAACATGAATATAATGTTTGTCACATGTTTATGTCCAGTCAGAGCAAGTTATGAATTATCTGTTTGCTTTTTTCAACCCGGGAAATCTTTCACCAACTTCAGACCAGCTGGAGCCTGTTTGATTGGGTCAGTATACTAAGTCAGGTAGTCTAATGCAAGTGGTACAATGTCACTCTTTGAAGGAGCTATTGGAAGAATATATGTGTTTTCTTGCTCTTCCCAAACAAACTTTACTACAAAATAGAAACACAAGTGAAATAAATCAAACTGAAATTTAGATTTTTTCACTTTTATTGTTCACTGACAATATAAGACCATATCTATTAAACTGAACACCAATCTTCAGCTGTTCTGAGACTTCCATATTTGTTTGGATTTCAGGCAGTTCTACAGGACATATTGTAAGTAGGATATATTGCAGATGTCAGAAAAATGTAGGGCTGACCTTCGAATCCATTTATGGACATTCGTGTTGTTCTTCCAACACTAGAATTACGATAGAAATATTCACAAACGAAAAAACACTAATGGTTGGTGATAAGTAGTGTTTAACTTTTGATTGAACACTAAATTAAAACCCTCGGCGCACACTGCAGCACAATCAAACAGATGTGCAACTCAGAGCATCAGAAGTGTCTCTGACACCAGACTCAGAGCGGACCGGTGGAACTGGAAAATGCATATTAGGCCTACTAGTTACTACTTACGTTTTTCAAGTGATTTCCCAAATTTATTGTTGAGTTGTGATATGCAAAGTGCTTTTGGCAAATCTTCAAGCATGTTTGTAAAGAAATTGCATTTCAAACTTGTACGAGCTTGTCTTGACCACTCTCA